TCTGTGATGACTGCACAAATCTCCTGAGGATGAGCGAATGACTACATTGTATCTGTGAAAAGAAAACATGGGTGTCAGCACTGTCTGCAAAGTTCTCTCCAGAAATCCTATCTCCTCTGATATCGGGTCACCAATGGAAGGGCAGCGGCACCTGCGGGTCAAGTGGGGCCCTGACCACCAGGGAGATACTATTTTGCTACCAGACTGGCGGGCTCTTCCCCAAGTCTCAGTCCTACTTATAACCATCCGACCCTCAGCCTCCTCCTGAGGATTTCTGGGGGTGCTCGGGGCACAAGCGCACTGACGCTCCACTTTCTGGCAGCACTGGGAGAATCCAGATCACTAGGATGGGAAGAGAGCAGTACATCGTCCACATGCAGGTTCTCCAGGTTTGGCCTTTCTCCAGTTTGAGGGCATCCAGGCACCTGGCTGGCTATGGCAGGCACAGCTACCTGAGGTTTCGGGAGAAGCCCGGCTGTGAGGTTGTTGGTGAAGTCAGTACAAGCAAGGTCATGCTACCAATGACAATGACAAAGGTCTTTCTTCCGCACTGGGGGGATGCCAATGAGACTGGCCCTGGGGCTCTGAATGCCTTTCCCTGCCTAGCCGGGCCCCTGGCTTTATGGCAGAAGTAGAAGGCTGGGGATCAGACACCGCTCGTGTCTGGCGATATAATGTGGTGGTGAACAGTCCACAGCCTACCCACAATGCCTCCTGCAGGACCCCAAATCTCGAGCCAGGAGCCAAGGAGTCAGAAGGTGTGACCCCAGGTACCCCGGTGGCATAAGTGCACATGGAGCCTCTTCAAGGTGCAGTGGTCTCCCATGGAAATAGGGCTAGAAGCTTTCATGTCTAAAGCACCCAGCTGTTATAGGCTTAAGGAGGATGTAGGAGGCAAATGTACTTTGAGAAGATGGGTACTAAGGAATTCCCTAGCCCCTGGGTGGTGCAGATGGTCAATACATCCGGCTGCTAAGTGCGAGGCTGGAGTCCACCACAAGCACCCCAAGGAATGCCTGGTGATGATTCTTGAAAAACCAGCCACTGAAAACCCAGTGGGGCCCCATTTCTACGCTGAGACAGAGGGGTCGCCCTGAGGGAGAAGTGATTTTTAAAAAAAACAGGCAGTGGGGTGTCCCAGCTTGTCTCCATGAGGCTGATTCCCGGTGACGCCCAGGCACGTTCAGGGCTCAGACATCACGAGGTGTCTCCTGGGGCATCTCTGCTGGAGTCTGAACCACCAGCCTTCCGTCTGGTGGCTGGCTCAGCCTCTCCTTGGCTTTCTTCCCTCAGGCTGTGGCCCGATTATAAGTCAGGAAATCATCTTCCTGGCCTCGGAAGGCCAGCCCGCCTCACTCCCTGCCGCTGGGCTCGGGAGGGCCCATGAAGAGGTCACCGAGGAAGAGTGCACCGCGGGGGGACTGACCTGCTCCCAGGTGAAGCGCACGGACGAGGGCACCACCACCAGGAGCGGCCACTCCTTCCGGTAAAAGGCCGCAACGCAGATGGCTTGGATGGTCTTCCCGAGGCCCATGTCATCGGCAAGCAGCAGGCGGCCTCTTTTCGCTATGGCGAAACTGAGGAAAGACAAGGTCAGGAGAATGCCCGGGACCTCTCCACCAGGGCGCGGCTCCAGCCTGTGCAGCCGGCCCGTTGGTGCCCACTGCCCTCCACGGGACCCCACTCTGGCCGGCGCAGCTCACAGGGAGGGGTGCCAACCCATCACGGGGCCAAGCTAGAGGCAGGGGCAGTCTGTCATCCAGGGGTAGCATGAAGTGGTCTCACAGGTATCCGGGCCAGGGAGGTCATGGGAGGCGGGCAGTGCCAGCCTCAATCCACATGCCGGCAAGGCGCAGGGAGGGGGATGGAGGAGAGTGAGCGCAGCCCATGAACCAGGTGCCAGCGAGGTGGCTTCGGGCTCACGCTGACACTGAGTGTGTTTGAGACCTGTGCCCCAGGAGGCTTCAAGGGCTGGCTTTCCATAAATAGATCACCAGCCTTTCTTCAAGGACACCTCTGGGTGGACCCCACCCTCCAGCCCCCTCACCATCCCAGCTTCCACGGAGCATTCCGGCTGCCCTTCCTCTTCTGCACACTAGTCTCTCTCAAGTTTTCCAGACCCTTCCTGGAAGCAGGTGGACAGAAGACCTCACACCGCTGGGTGAGGGGAAACACAGGTGAGAAGAGATTTCATTGCTCAACCTCCTGTCCTACAAATCTGGTGGCCGGGGAGTGTGGGGGTCAGCTGGGGCAGCACAAGCCACTGGAGACCCTGATCCCTTGACTGCCTTTGGTTACGGGCTCCTCCGCACCACCACTCACCCAGTCATCGTTCTCGAAGCAGAAAGGACCCCAAGAACACCCTGCCTCTGTTTGCCCTGCCTCCTGGGGGGCCAGTTAAAAGCAAACTGGCGCCAGATGAAAGCGGGGAGAGAGGAAGGCCTGGTTGACAGAGCAGTAACAGCGCAGCCGAGTGTCATCCTCTCCAGGCCAACAGGAAGCTGAGTCACGCAGGCAAATGACTGTGCCTGGCCCCCCTTACCTGGGGGACAGGACCACTGAGATGGGCAAGGAAGCGGGTAGAGAGGGAAGGAGTCCTGAGGGAGCTTTCTGGTTGTTCTGCCAATTAAGATCATCACAAAGCATGGAAAAAATGGCCCCCCTCACCAATCCTGCCCCTTCCTAGGATGGAAGTTAAAGCCTGAGGTTAATCAGAACGTGCTGTAGCACTCCCAGCACCACAAGCTGCTCCCAGCTGCTGGGAGAGTGAGGAGAGACAGTTGGCCGTGCTGTGGCGTCCATGCCCGTCCTGCACACCTGGGACTCCCACACACTCGACACTCAGACCAGAGGTCTCTGATGGAACCAGAAAGAACCTGATGCCCAGGAGTGGGATAGGGTGGGGAAGAACCACCTGAGCCTGGTTAAAACGAGGCCCTCAGCATCTGTCTGAACAGCAAGTTGAAGTTTTCTCAAGTGCACGTGTGAGAGAGACGGAAGGCAGAGGCAATGGGAGGAAGGGGGAGCGGGGGAGGGGGAACAATCTGGGACAGGTTGTACTGTAGTAAGGACCAACAATACCCAAAGTGCTCGGGGTCAAAGACAGGAGGAGCCCAGAGTGGTAGACAAAATACTCCAGTCCAGCCTTTCCCACTAGTTTGTTCTGGTCTGGTCCCTGCCGAGACGATGTACTCCAACCTCAGACAGACAACCGGAGTCTCCATGAAAACAAGAGCCCCAGAATCACCCTCGTTAGAATGTAGATTCTGGCTCAGTGTCTGTGGGTGGAAATTTGAATCGTCAGCAGGGAGGTTGAACCAGAGTGACTGAATCAGGCCTCAAGCAGGCCGGCTGTCTCAGTTCGTCAGCTCGGCAGCTAATTTTGGTTCTTTCAGCCACGCTGTCTAGTCCAAGACCTCCTCTCTCTGCTCCTGGGCCTTCTCTGTTTTCCCTAGATGGCAAGTTCAAGCCCGGCCTGCTTCTCAGAAAGAATTCTGGGAGAAAGGGCAGGGCAGGACATACGATACAGGCTTGTGTATTCCTTTCTATGATCAGAGAACCTGACCTGTGGGGACTAAGGAGGTGGGGGGGTGGAGAGGGAGGGGGGGGGGCAGGACTTCTGGCTTCAGGACTGTCCATACCTGCCCAGCCCCAGGAGCAACGAGGTGCCTCTGTTCCAGAGCACACGGCCCAGGACAAAGCAGGCCAAGCCGCAGCCCAGCTGCGAGGGCAGCATCCCAATGAGGTCTTATGAGTTTCGACCTTGCCTGCTCTGCTCACTGACCACCTCTTGGAGTTCTGCCCACCTGCAACCCTGAGTCCTGATTCACCCACAGAACTTGAAAGCTACGTACACAGCACTGCCACGATGCTCCCCGGTGTCCGTGGAAGGTGAACCCAGAGCGCGATGAGTGAGCAGGGTCCCGTGGGAGAGGAAGAGGGAGGGGAAGGACGTACTTAACCCCGGCTCTCTGAAAGGGCATCAGGCTGGACACGAGCTTGGCATCCACTCCGGAAAGGTCAGCCTCAGGGACATCAGCCGTGAGGTGGAGAGACGTCTTCTCGAGTTGAGAGGCGAAAGCCTGGACGATGGTCTTGGGCAGCGGGTCCAGCCGGACCTGCGGGAGGCAGCGCACTCTCTCAACTAGAAAGGAGAGCGGAGACGTGTGAGCTGCGAGTTCATGCCCAATAGATCTGGGGGGAAAGGGGCTTCCGTAGACTGAGACACCTGACCAGAACCCACTGCATGGCAGATTGTCAAAAATGGCAGCGGAAGGGAGGAGGGAGGCTGACAGCTGTCTTCCCCTGGGCAAAGCACCTGAATCTAGAGAACAGTTTTCCTGGGAAGCTAATTTCTCCAGATAAGATGCCTATCCATGATGCAGAACTGATAAGCTACGCTACCCAAACGTTAGAAAGAAACACTAGCTATTTTGTGATCAAAATAAAATTTTTAAAGTTCCCTAGTAGTCCCATGTTCTAAAAGATGAGTCCAAACCACACATACACACACACACATACACACACACACACACACACACACACGTGCGCGCAGCTGTCGAGCCGATTCTGACTCATGGCAACGCACACACCTGCTCCCTGGAGTTTGAGACTGTAAATCTCCACGGGAGCCACAGCCTCATCTTTCTCCCACAGAGTGGCTGGTGGGTTTGAACCACTGGCCTGCAGGTTAGCAGCCCGATGCTGAACCTATGGCTTCACTAGGACCCCTCACCAGTTCCAAAGCACTAATTTAAAAAGAGCAAATCTTAAGTGGAGTCAATGCTCTCCTCGCCTCCTTTGGCTTTCTCTTGGCGGTGTTCCCAGAAGGCAGGGCACGCTCAGCTCCACCCAGAAGTAGGAGAGAAACACGGCAAAGATTCAAAGGATGGCTATAGCAATGCCACGTTATTTGAAAAAGAGGAAGAACAAAACAAAAGAAAAAGCAAAGGGCGGAGTCGAAGTGAAGATAGGATGCCAGTGTTCTCCCCTTTAAGGAGACTAAGTCCCTCCCCGGTGAGAGGCGGCCTGCAGTGGTGACCTGCCTGTGGCGGCAGAGACTCGCCCCGGCCACGAGGGCCTCTGGCCCAATCCAGGCTGCTGCCACTGTCTGTCAATGACATGGTCCTGAGCCGCCAGGACACGGTGGGGGTCAGGGGCTGTGGCAGAGTGCACATGGCCTGCAAAGACACTGACTGCCAGCATCGCAGCAATCACGCTGAGGAGTGTCATTGGCATCGTTCACGTCTGGGGGTCTGGACGTCCTCCCAAGCAGCTGGTGCTAGATCACTGAAAAGAGGAGCATCTCCCTAGAGAGCTACATAGAGATGAAAGCAAATCCATTAATTCAGATCATCGATTTTGCCTGTTTAAAAAATTGAGCCTTATTTGATTTAAAATTAAGAGGGGGTGGGAAACTTTATTCAATAGGGAGATAGGAAAAAATGGATACAAACGAACCGCACGATTCTAGCAGCGAAAAAAGGGAGCCCTGGTGGCACTGAGCTGTTACCCAAAAGGCCAGCAGTTCAAGTCACCCAGCCGCTCTGTGGGAGAAGGGTGTGACAGTCTGTTCAGTCAGATTTACGGGATCCTGGGAAACCCTACAGAGCAGTTCTCCTCTGTCCTGTAGGGTTGCCGAGGGCAACGGGCAGAGGAAGGACGCTGACATGCAGGTCCCTCCGGCCGGAGCCACCCCTGAACTACTACTCACCACTGTCGGCTGTGCTCCGGGCTGCAGCCCTCAAGATGGGCTGCTCTGTTATGACCACACGCTCTTCTTTGGAAAATCAAGTGAGAAGAACAGCCATTGCTGCCAGATTTTCAACTGCTCTTTCTTCTTGACCAGCTCAGGGGCTCCCAGGCAGAGCCACCGTCACCCTAACTGTTCTCTAAGGACCCAGTAAATCCAGACCCCAAACCAAGCTCATGTCAGCGAGTCGATTCTGACTCCCCACAGCCCCACAGGCCAGAGCAGACCCGCTCCACGGGGCTTCCGAGGTGGCAAACCTTTCGTGCGGACAGCCAGCCTCCTCTTCCTCCTAAGAGCAGCTGGTGGGTCTAAAGGCCACTGGCTAGCAGCCCACAGCACCACCAGGCCCCTGGGCTCCAGTAGAGGGAACAGAAAGAAAAGAAAGGTGGTGGGTTCGCAATTCCGCGTGGTCTTGGGTTTTCTCCATATCCTCAACAGGCGCCTTGAGTCTCCTGCCGCAATGCTCAAAGGGAGGGTTGGCCCGTCCACAGCTACCCCAAATTGCCTAGTATTTTCCATACACTGAAATCCACTTCTGGCCCTCCCTAAAATGTCAATGCCCGTTATTTCTGGAGAGAGACTCCGAGAACAGAGTTGCCATGATATGAAGTTAGTGGGGAGCTGACAGTTCTCCTCTAAGGGAGTCCAGCCGTCTGGAGGCTGAGCTGCACTTCACCCATGCAGAAAAACCGGACTGACCGTGACATTCAGGAGGCTGAGCACTCCAGAAACCCCGGCACAATTCCCATCCTCCTCTGGGTCATCTTCAGAACGGACACAGCCCTCGGGCCCTTGCCAAATGCGGTGTGCTTATAGGTTCCATGCCCCCGCAGGCTGTTTGAGGGAAAAGGCAACCTCAGCTCTTTCCCAGCACTACCGCCTCCCACCGTCTTCTGCTGTGTCTATGTTCCTGCCTCAGCGCTGGGGAGACGACGGGGTGTCTGGTACTGCGAGCCACCCAGGAGTCACTCCTGTAGAGTGGCTCTTTGGCAGAGGGCGACATAGCCGCCCAGCAGAGATATTCACGTGTCCACACAGCGGCGGATGAGCCAGGATGACTTAGGGGGACACGGGACCCTTGTGGATTGTGACAGCCAAGGGTAATCAAAGGGCTTCTCAGGAGATCCACCTTCGGTAAACGGAGCCATGTGTACCCCGTCACCAGGGGCACGCCCAGGCTCAGCAGGCCTCCGTGCCATTGCCTCATTAGTCTCAAGTGCACATTCGCTAGCTCAGGGTCAATCATCTAATTTCACACATGAGGAGCTGAGACCTCAGGGCGAGGAGAAAAACCCCAAACCAAAACCCAGTGCCATCAAGTCGATTCTGACTCAGGGACCCCAGATGGGGGGAGAAGGGCCTCATGGGGTCTTCAAGGCTGCAGTCTTCCCCACCTTTCTCCTCCAGAGCAGCCGGAGCCTTTCACTGCACAGCCGAGTGCTTGAACCGCTGAGCCAGCGGGCTCCTGCAGGGGTGGAGAGAGCTGCAGCTCCCGTGGCTCATGTGCTGGTGCGTCTTCTGCCCCGGCTTTTCAGCTTCATGTATCTGGCTTACACCGGCCGACAATTTAGTTTTCTCTCCTCCCTGACTTGACTGTGGCCCTGAGCTGCTTCAGGAAAGCCAGTGGGACTGTCTGCTCTCAGTCTTCTCTTCCTCCAGACCCTGTCACGGTGAGCTGGCAGGTTCAAACGCAATCTGAACTCCAAAGCGCGGATGTGTGAGACTCACGGACGGGGTGGTTAAAGTCATCGTTCGACGCGCGGCCACCATCAATCTGCTGTTTCTGCCCCAGAGCAGGAACCGCTACGCTTTAAACCGTGGGTGAGGCACAGGTCTATCTCCGCGTGACCGGCATCTGCTCATGCTGCTGCTATCGGACTGTTGGCGGTTGCCCGCAGGTCAAAACCAGAACCAGACCCACTGCCTTCCAGTCGGTACCACTCCCAGCAACCCTCTGGGACACAAGGGAACAGACCTGTGGATTTCTGAGCTGTAAGTCTTTAGGGGAGCAGACGGCTCCATCTTTCTCCCTCGGAGCAGGTGGTGGGCTCCAGCTGCTGATCTTGAGGTCAGCAGCCCAGAGTGTAACCCACTAGGCCTAGAATGTTGACTCACCCGTGTCACACCACAAGTCACACTTGGGAAGGAGAGCAAGCACAGGAATCTGCTTGCGCCTCGTCCTTAAAGCCCTGGCCTGAGGGGCAAGCTGGCAGAACCGGGCCTACCAAACGATCCCTCCCACTGGCTGGGCGGCCCACACTCCAGGAGAGGATCAGCCATGGCCACGCCCCAGCAGGGCACACAGAGGAAACTGGCTGAGCCCACAGAGGCTCCTCCTCCTTAAACGAAGGCAAACATGGCCGGCTCCACTACAAGACAGGACATCCCTCACTGACCCACAGCCCTACGAGGGACAACATTGGAGACACAGTGCAGGGATTATGCCTGATCTGACCCCACCACACCGAGGCAAAACACTAAGGGCATGCAACAGAACAGCAAGGGGAACAGAGCAACAAAGTCCCCGGGGGAATACCAAAAATGCTTTGGGGCCAGGGCATGGCACCCCATCAGACTTGATTGGAAAAACACTTCTAAAGGTAAACAAACAAAGCTTGAACTATTTACAGGCTTTTCTTATTTTTGTCATTGGTTTTTTGTTGTTGTCTTGCTTTCTTTTGTTGCTTTGTTTTGCTCTCTCTTGTTTTTTTGTGCATAGTATTCTCTGCAGGTCTATCTAGATAAGATAGGCGGGATAAACAATCTGGAGGAGAAAACAATGGTTCCAGGGAGGACATGGTAGAGGGGGAGGTGGGGGGTAAAGAAGTGGGTGTTAATAACCCCAGGGGTAAGGAAACAACAAGTGATCCAAATCGGTGGTGAGGAGGGTGTAGGAGGCCTGGCAGGGCGTGATCAAGGGCAATGCAACCTCCAGGAATTACTGAAACCCAAATGAAAGATGAGCATGATGGTGGGACAAGGGGAAAGTAAAAGGAAAGAGAGGAAAGAGCTAGGAGGCAAAGGGCATTTATAAAGGTCTAAATACAGGCATGTACATATGTAAATATATTTATGTATGATGATGGGGAAATAGATATATGTACATATATTTATAGGTTTAGTATTAAGAATACTCTACTCAAGTATTCTCTCAGTGCAAGAACTTTGTTCTATTAAACTGGCATTCCATGATGCTCACCTTCCCTACACGATTGATAAAGACAAAGCAGGTGCACAAGCAACTGTGAAGAAAGCTGATGGTACCCAGCTATCAAAAGATACAGCGTCTGGGGTCTTAAAGGCTTGAAGATAAACAAGCAGCCATCTACCTCAGAAGAACAAAGCCCACATGGAAGAAGCATACCAGCCTGTGTGATCAAGAGGTATCAACGGGATTAGGTATCAGGCATCAAAGAAAAAAAAAATCATATCATTGTGAATGAGGGGGAGCGTAGATTGGAGACCCAAAGCCCATCTGTATGCAACTGGACATCACCTTCTAGAAGGGTCGTGGGGAGGAGACAAGGCAGAGTGCAGTGTAGCAAGGATGAAACATATAACTTTCCTCTAGTTCTTTAATGTTTCCTCCCCCATACTATTATGATCCCAATTCTACTTTTAAATCTGGCTAGACCAGAGGATGTACACTGGTACAGATAGGAATTGGAAACACAGGGAATCTAGGACAGATGATCCCTTCAGGACCAATAATGAGAGTAGTGATACCAGGAAGGTAAGGGGAAGGTGAGGTAGAAAGATGGAACTGATTATAAGGATCTACATGTGACCTCCTCCCTGGGGGATGGGCAACAGAAAAGTGGGTGAAGGGAGACGTCAGACAGTGTAAAACATGACAAAATAATAATTTATAAATTATCAAGGGTTCATGAGGGAGGGGGGCAGGGAGGGAGGGGAAAAATGAGGAGCTGATACCAAAGGCTCAAGTAGAAAGAAAATGTTTTGAGAATGATGAGGGCAACAAATGTACAAATGTGCTTGACACAATGTATGGGCGTATGGATTGTGATAAGAGTTGTACAAGCCCCCAATAAAATGATTTACAACAAAACAAATAGAACGTGGCTATCTGTATGCAGCCCCTGCACATGAAAATGCCTGAGCGCCCAGCTGACTCCTACACTAAGCTTGGCCAATCTTCCCTGACCAACTAGTTCCCAAAGGATGCTAGGAGCTTCAGCCTGAGCAAGGCATCTCAGGGCACCTCTGATTCCCCAGGCTCCCAAGCTGGGGAGGTGTGCCCACACGGCAACCCCTTCCGGAGGAGGTGGGCCCTGCGTGTGTGAGCCCGACTCCAGAGAAGCCATCCTCTGCGCAGCAATGGTCAAGGCTGCCTGAGGGCACCTCCACCCTGAGGCACCCAAGCATTGGAAGTGAGCACGGCGGAGGGGAAGGGTGGGGGCCTTTTCAAAGACACCCAAGTCAAGACAGCTCATTGAAACTCAAACAATAGCATGATCTAAAACAAACAAGGTGGTCTGCTCACTTAGCTTATTGTGCTCTTCCAAGAGAAAATTCCACTTCCGGGTGTTGGCATCTGGGAAAAACACCAAAACAGAATAAATAAATAAATACATACATACATACATACATACATATATACATACATACATCAGAAAACATGAGACTTCACCCTCGGGCTCTCCAGCACTCAAACCAAAACCCACTACCGATGAGTCGGTTCTAACTCCATGACCCTCGATAGGGTTTCACTGCAGGCTGTCAATCTTTCCGGGAGCAGACAGCCTCATCTTTCGTGTGCTGAGCATCTGGTGATTTTGAACTGACCGCCCTGAGGTTAGCAGTCCATCATTTACCCAACAGTGCCAGCAGCACACTTCCTGTTTATGCCCAGGCTTATGCCCTTGGGTGTCGTTTACGCTTGACTGGGCTAATCAGCAGATGGCCTGCCACTCGTCAGTCATTTTTGACCTGGTTTTCTTGAGGGTTCACTACCCGCCAGGTGTGCTTTCATAAGCACTTTCACAACCACCCTGTGAAGTAACGGCTACGATGCTGTCACTATTCAGATGTGGAAGCGAAAGCACAGGAAGTTAAGTAAGTGCTCCCGGTCACGGTCACGCAGCTGGTAGGGGCAGGGCTGGCATTAGGTCCCAGACTGACCGGCCACTCCGACATCACGCACCGACATCACGCACCGCACTGCCTCTCCAGATAAAATGGCGCTCACCACCGGGCCTACCTTACAGGGGCAGGGCCCATGTGAGGGGCAGGTGAAATGGTGCTGGCAGAGCTTGTGGCACCTGGCTTAAGGTGTCAGCCGTGGATATTATCTGAAGCTTGGCAATTCAGGGTATTTCTAACCTGCTGGGCCATCCCCAGCCGCACTCCCCACTGTGCCCTTTTTTCTTGATTCTCATGGCACAATCTCACAGCGTCTCTGCTAGTCTGTCTCCCCTGTCTGTTGGGGCAGCCTCCAGGGCATGTGCCCCCTTCCTGCCTGTGCCCTCAGGCCCAGCCTCAGGGCTAGACTAAAACCAAACTCACTGCCATTGAGTCAATGCCAACTCATAGTGACCCTACAGGACACGGTTCAACTGCCCTGGTGGGTTTCCAAGACTGGAACACTTTTCAGGAGTAGAAAGCCTTTCCTTTCTCCCATGGAGTGCCCAGTGGTTTTGAACTGCTGACCTTGTGGTTGGCAGCCCAATGTGTAACCACGACATTCCCAGGGCTCCCTGCTGTACAGTTGGAGTTGAATGGGGGTTGAAAGTGGGATTTGAATGGAGTTGGAGTTGAATGGAGTTGAAAGTGGGATTTCCCAGGCTGCTGACAGACACAGATGATGTCGGTTATTCTCTGAAGAGTCACCCCCGAGCTGAAGCCCCACGTGCAGGGGGCAGGGCCGGCAGACACCTGGCCCCTGGAGATCACATACCGGCTCTGTGGACAGCCTGCTCCAGGGGCTGTCCACCTCAGAGTCAGCGTCCCAGGCAGCATCGCCCTCCTACGGGAGGGACCGACCCCTGGAGAAAGGGCTTCGTGGAGCCCGCCACAGGGTCTTTCCTAGAGTCATCCCTGACCACGGTGTGCTGGCCAGGCCAGTCTTCTACCTGCCCGAGGAGACGCCTGTAACCATTCCAGGCTTGGGGAAACAGGGATCCAGAAAAGCCCCATCACTCTGACACTGAGGCAGAGGCCTGCCTCCTCCTTTGAAGAACATCCGAGAAACACGGCACATCTGTCTGGCTGAGGCCAAGGCCAATGGTTTGCCCCTAAACCTGTCTGCCACTGAGTCAATTCTGAGTCATTGTAACCCTATAGACTCCCTGAAACTGTAAATCTTTACAGAGCCTCATCTTTCTCCGGTGGAGCAGTTTATGGATTTGAACTGCCAACCTTGCAGTACTCATTGCCATCGAGTGCATTCCTACTCACAGCAACCCGGCAGGGAAAGGGTAAAGCTGCCCCTGTGGGTTTCGGAGATTGCAACTGTTTATGGGAATCGAAAGCCTCTTCTTTCTTCTGCGGAGCAGCTGGTGGCTTTGAGCTGCTGTCCTTGCGACTAGCAGTCCAACAGCAGTAACCCACTGCGCCAGCAGCCCCCAATCCTAATCCACAGCACCACTGGGGCTCGCCTGCAGAGGTAGAAAAGAGCTGCTGCTCCTGGGCCTGAAAGCCTCTCTCTGGGACAGAGCCAGACGGGAGGCAGCTTAAGAACCCAGCGTGCTAAAGAACAGTGGTGTGGAGACTTCAGCTGGGAGCCCAGTGCAGCAGCTCAGACTCACTAGGGAAGTTGTCTGAAGTGCAAACCACTGGGCTCCACCCCAGAGCTACTGAATCAGAAAGACGCGGGTGGAGTCCAGTGAAGGAGTTTTCACCAGCCTCCCCCAGGTGGCCCCACAGCTGCACAGAGGTTTCAAATCTGCAGGCTGCAGAAAGGTGTTTCCTTTTATGGCAACCACCTGTTTGGGGGACGAATAAAGACCAAACCAAAAGACCCATCCAAGTGCCATCAAGTCAGGTCTTGGCTCATAGCCACCCTGCAGGACAGAGGAGAACCTAGTGGTTCCAGGCTGTGAATCTTTACGAGGGGAGATCTTTCTCTCGAAGGGTGCTTGGAACTCCTGACCTGCCTGTTCACTAGTGGCCCAAAGCATCACCATGAAGCCAGCATCGCTCCTATGGGTTAATGGCTGAAGCAAGAGCTTAGGACAGTGGTTCTCAACCTGTGGGTCGTGACCCTTTTGGGGGTCGAAAGATCCTTTCACAGGGTTGTTCCTAAGACCATTGGAAAACACATAAATATTTCATAATACATAATTACATATTGTTTTGTGATTTATCACTATGGTTTATGTTCAATTTGTAACAATGAAAATATATCCTGCATATCAGATGTATTATACTACGATTCATAACAGTAGCAAAATGACAGTTATAAAGTAGCAAGGAAAATAATTTTATGGTTGGGGGGGGGGGGTCCCTACAACATGAGGAACTGTATGAAAGGGTCCCGGCATGAGGAAGGTTGAGAACCACTGCCTTAGGAGGTTCTGCCAAGAAGGCACTGACCCATTGGACTGGGCAAATCATGGCGGGCTTCTCTGTGGGAGTCCTTTCAACCCCCGTAAGTCACCCGGTCCCGTCGGCTGTGTTTTCTTGGAAGATTCTCCTAAATTCTGGTTTAGCATCAACTCGACAGCAGCGAGTTTGGGTTTTTGCGTTTGGGTCTATTTTAGGGACCCTGGTGGCATAGTGTTTACAAGTTAGGCTGCTAACGGCAAGGTCAGCAGTTTGAAACCTGCAGCCACCCTAAGGAAGAAAGACGGAGCTTTCCACTCCTGTAAAAGAGTCAGTCTCAGAAACTCAGTTCTACCCTGTCCTACAGGGTCGCTGTGAGTCTCCATTGACCCGATGGCAATGAGTCTTTATTTTGTCCTGAGCAGAGCAGGAAAACAAGTGTGAGAGGTGCTCAGCGGCTAACTGGAAGGCTGGCCGTCTGAGGCCCCTCAAAGGCACTAAGAAGAAAGGCCTGGTGATTTTCTTTCCCCAAATCAGCCATTCCGAGTCCTCTGGAGCCCAGTCTACCTTGGCACACATGGGTTCACTGGACACCCCAACCAGACAGTAAGTGGCCTGAGAGGGCTTCAGAGGGGAAGGAGAGCCGGCCAGGAAGACTCAAACAAACAAGTGATTGCTGGAATATCTTCAAAGAGAAAGACAACCCCCTACTGTACTTGCCGTAATTCCTGGAATTCATCTGTTGGAACAGCGAGATCAGGTCTTCGGAGTAGCCGATGTCGGCCTCGAAGCGGACCCGGGAGATGAGCATGCATCGGCCTTGGACAAAGGTGAGGGATGGGGCAAGCGGGAGGCTGGCCTGCACCCCGCTGGGGGTGGAGGCTGACTCCCTGCCACTGGCCCCTTCCAAAGGCTGCAGGGTGACCGTGGCCAGGCGCTGAGCAGCTTTCACTACAGAAGAGGAATAGGGTGGAAGTGACCGAGTAGGCAGCAACTTTCCCGTGGTCCCAGAGGTGCAGGCAGGGAATGGCGAAAACAAGGCGGGTGGGGGGCAGACAGCTCGTGCACAGGGAGCTGCATTGAAGACCGGCTAGAGAAGCATTGTGTGGTGGCAGTGGGAAGGCTGGCAGCAGCCTTGAGCTGGGGCTGTGGGAATTTCAGTATTTTCTGGACCATCACTTTCAAATCGAAAGATGTTGAACTGAGAAGTCAACGGCGAAGAGGAATCCTGCCAGGATAGGGAGCTTGCTAAGTGCTTGTGTGGTCCTGGTGGAGTCACTACTGAGGTCTCTCCACAAACCACCCCTGAACTCATGCCCAGGCCACTACTCTTCTCTGCTGCTGCTACTGAAGGCCCAGGAGCGTCGAACTGGCCAGTGGGGTTTGTTTCCCAGTCTATACATCTTTATGGAAGCAGGCAGCCTTTTCTTTTTCCCATGAAGCAGCTGCTGAATTTGAGCTGCCAACCTTTCAGCTAAAGATGGAGCACTGAACCACTGCACCACCAGGCCTCCTTGGCAAGGATGGAACCCCTGCCATCAAATCCATTCTGATTCCCAGCAACACTCACCCACACAGGGCAGGAAGTCTCCTGTCCCTCCCATGGAGTGGCTGGTGGGTTTGAACCTTGGGTTTGGAGCAGCCCACTGCCTAACCCACAGCACCACCAGGGCTCCTTTGGTGAGGATGTTAAGAAAAACCCTCAAAGCCACAGTCACTGCCATGGAGTCGGTTCAGTGACCCCACAGGACCGAGGAGAACGGCCCCTGTGGGAGTCCAAAGCTGTCAGTCTTTACAGGAGCCTCATCTTTCTGCCTTGGAGTGTCTGGGGGGCTCAAACTGCTGACCTTTAGCCCAACATATAATCCACATCACCAGGGCGCCTTGGTGAGGATACAGAGGAGCCTAACTACCGATCACCAATCCCTACAGTTCATCTGGGAGATACCTTGTGAATTTTGTGCCAAATAAGCATTGCTTTCAGGAGTGTGCAGGGCCACTGCAGAGACTGACCGTGCCACCGAGAACACCGAACTGAGTGTGCAAAAGCTGAAATCATGTCACTGTGTGCTGTGGCCAGAGGACGGGAGTGACTGAAGGGCAGAACAAAGGAAAACCGTGACAGCATGTGTGGGAGTTACATAATTTCACGTCAACTTGAAGATATATGAAAGTGTAGGGGGGGTGGAATTTAGCCTGTCAATCAGGTCACAGCCTGATGGTGACTCTTTGTGGGCATGGCTGTCTCCTAAGACAGGTCCTAGGAACCCCCACCCCCATGCCTTCACCTTCCTGATGGTGGGTCATGTGGAGAACAGCCAGAGCCTTGTGATGCTTCCACCGCCACTGGATCCACAAGACCCCACACCCACCCTGCATTCTGCATCACTGCTTCTGAATGCAAGAGTCCGGAGAGGGACTTCTGGACTAGGATCGGACTCGTGGACTTGAGTTGGACTGGGCTGGGCTGTTTCCTCAATACATAATTAGTTCTTGATATAAAGCTCTCTCTTGTACATGTATGCGTGTCACTGGATTTGTTTCTCTAGTCAACGCAGACTCACACACTGAGGAGGCAACAGCGGGACTACCAGGTGTCAGAATCTGCCATCTCGCCCCAGCGGCCGGCTCTCCTCCCCACACTAAAACACGGATTAAAAGGAAAAAACTAGCAAAAAGCGCTACCCCCTAAGATCACCAATAGCTACCTGCCACCTAAGTAGCTGTCCGCGCCATGCAGTCCCAGAGTGGAGGCCCAGGAGGAAAACAGGAATTTGGCAGGGACCTAGCTGCCCATCAGCGCCCCACCAAGCTGTGCAGGTGACACCCCCGGGCCCAGAGAGCTCAGTGGTTGGGGACAAGCACTCTAAAACTAGACTGGACTTGAACATCAGGGTCACTATTAGTTGTGGGACACTGTGGGTGTTACTCATCCTCTCTGGCCTCAGTCTCCCCCTCTGCACAATGCTTGCTATAAGCAATCACACAAGCGTGGTCTCTGGCACAGTGCTGGCACTGCCATGCTCACGCAGGAAGAAGGGCATGAGGATGGTGCCCTGAGAACTTTCGCTGCCAGTAAAGCGCCTGGCACTACAGGCAAGCGCATGTTGGCTGCTCCCCAGGATCCCTGAGAGGCCACCTTGCCCTCCCCGAGCACCAAGCACACATGCTTACTCAGAGCGCTGTAGTCGGTCATGCTGAAGTCCCAGGTCTTGGAGGCAGGATCTGAAATGAAACAGACAGAGGAGGACACTCACGAGCTCTTCCCTGCTTGCACACAACAGTGAAGGAATGTTAGTCCAAACACCGCCACAGCTGACGTCCACATACCCAAGGTCCCGGTAGAGAGAAACCCAAGCCCACTGCCAGAGTCGAGTCCAACTCAGGGGCCTGCAAGGACAAAGGACTGCCCCCGAGAGTTTCTCAGGCTGTACACCTGTGCTGCTACGTGTCTACCTCAGAGCGGCTGGTAGAGGGATTTGAACTGCCGGCCTAACTGGGGTTTTCAACCACTGGGACTTCTCTTAAAATAAACACAGACAAGAGCAAGTCTTTTGTTTTTCAATAAAAAGAATTCACCTCGGACCTCGGAGACTCTGGCGTCTCCTACGAGACTGAATGGATTGTGAAAAGTTAGGACCAGACACGGGCTTGGAATCCAGGGCCGCCAGGCAGAGCGGATGAGAAGAGGCGTGCGCACTGAGGTCCTGCAGAGCTGGCCACACGTGGCTCCACTCTACCAAATAACGAACAGGGCATTGCTGCACTGTGCTGACCTAGTCCCAGCGCCTGCCAGTGGGAGCCCCACAAGCCTCAGAGAGCCAAGCTCACAGCGATGGGGTCAGCTCCAAGTCACGGAGACCCCACAGGACCGAGGAGAACTGCCCTGGTGGGTTTCCGAGATGGCAACTGTTCAGGGGTGGAGAACACTTCCTCTTTCTCCCTCAGAGCAGCTGGTGGTAGTATCAAACTGCCGACCTTGTGGTTAGCAGCTCACCACATAACCGCTACGCCAGCATCACACAAAACCGGTGCTGGGCCCAAGTGCTACAATCTACACAGAGCACCTGACAGAAGCCAGTCATCCACTCTCCATGTGGCCGCCTGAAGCTGGACAGCTGTTTGGGGGAATGTTTGTTAAACAGGGAAACCTGGGCTCAAAATGAAAGCGCTAAACCACTGGATGGCACGTGTCAAGGCCGTGCTGGAGACGTATGAGGCGCCAGAAACAGAAGAGCAAACACGGGACAGAACCAAGGGAACACAGCCACGTGGGGAACGAGACAGGGGCTCATTACCGTAATGCCGGCTGGGCAGACTCTTAAACACAGCAAGCAGCTCAGCGCTGTAGCCGACCTTCACTCGGAAGCGGTCTCCTTCACGGACGCACTTGCCCTGCTGGCAGCCGACTCCTTTCTGGAGGGAGTTTCCTAGATCCTGCTGGAGTTTTCCTTCTGCCCGGGAAGGCACACTCCGTGAACCATAGAAGACGTCAGAAATGGACTGCCCGGAGGTGGAGGGTGTTGCGCTCTCGGGCGCTAATTCAGGATCCTCAGAGGCCTGTCCCAGGGAAAAAGCTGGCACCTGCTGGGAGCCCACCGGCTTAGCCAAGAGCTCAGGAGCTGTGTTAGCCTCGTGTGACACCTGAGCATGGCCTTGCCCTAACTCAGAACCCAAGTCCTGCTGGTTGGGGACCTTTGGGGAGCTTTGTGCCCGGGGAGGAAAGTCCGTGGCGATGGTGGGCTGACTTGATGATGCCCTATGGCTTGGGGAGGCTGCCGGCTTGTCTTCTTGACTCTGCCATCTCCTGCCTGCTGGCTTTGGCGTGTCAAGAGGATTCGATGCATTAGGGGGATTCTTTTGCTTGAACACCCCATCGTGGGTCACTGGCTTAGAAGACTCCTGCAGGGGATTCTGGGAAGGGTTGCCTGAGCTTGGATGCTGGTCGCCTAATAATTTCTCGGCTCTACGGGCCAGAGCCTTTTGGCGATTCTCTTCAATCTTTTTCCTCTGCTCCTCTGTAAGGGGCAAGGACATTTTCCTGGGGAGACGCTGACACAGGAATGTCGATGTTTCATCAGAACTCTAGAAAGAGCTGTAGAGGGAAAAATGAAGAATCCACATTAAATTTGTTTATCTACCAAGCTGTGACCTTGATTTTCACACACATTGTTCCCCAGAAATGCACCAGGAGCACACTTAAAAGCTTCGCACACGCGCGCGCGCATGCTCACAACATGTGCTAAAATAACCACCTCTTCAAACAAGCAGAGAAAACAAAGACGGTCAGGTCAAAGCCGAAGCTGCAATGGTCTTGGCTCTCCCATCTCCCAGGGAACACGAGCGCTCAGCAACCCCAAACAAGGTCCAGTTACTACGAACCAAACCCACTGCCATCGAGTCAATTCTGACTGACAGCGACCTTAGAGGGCAGAATAGAACGGCCCTTCTGGGTTTCTGAGGTTGTAACTCTCTTTCTCCCGAGGAGCGGCTGGTAGCTTCGAACTACTGCCCTTGCGGTTAGTAGCCCAATGCATATCCACTATACCACCAGGGCTCCTTAACAAGCTAGACAGAGCCCCCAAATCAATGCACTGAGAAATGCAGCATCTCAAACCAGAAAGGTCCCCGGATAGATTAAAATAGACCAAGACAGGCACACACCATGGCATGCCACTTGCTAAAAGAACCCGTTTCCCACTCGGAAGGGGGCGCAAGGCCAGTCTTGCACAGACGCACACAAGCCTCTCTGGGAGCCACCAGCCACTCTGCACGTGGCCTTCGGCCTGCCTTCGAAAATGCAACCCCAATGACCGCCCCGCCCGCTCCACTGCAGAGTGACACAGTGGCCCCGGAAAACTGAGAAAAAGAAGGAAAAGAGGAATACATGCTCCTTATACAAAACCAGGAGCGGTCACATCACCACCCGTCAATAAGTCCCCTCACTGGGAGTTTTCTATCTATAGACTGAAATAGGAGGGTAAGTCAAGAACTATTGCTACCGGGGCTCCGGTTCAAAACGCACAGGTTTATTCCACACAAAACAAGGTCAAACCTATCTTGGCCATCGGTGGGTGGCTGCAGACAAGTCCTCCCCGGGACACACCTGCTTTACACTCACTGAACCCATGGTCACGGAATCCATTCTGACTGACTGTGGCTCTGTGGGGAGGGCTAAACGGCTTGTTGGGGGTGGGGGTGGAGGATGCAAATCTTTAGGGGAGCAGAAAGCTCACCTTGCTCCAGGAGAGCAGCTGGTGGGTTCAGACTGCACTACGCCTTCAAAAGGAAAAGGTCCAAGAGAATGGGGTTTCCCAGGGGTTCTCATGGGCCAGTTAAATGAAAGGTGGAAGGGTCAGCTCAGAAAGTTATGGGTGACTGTTTGGGGGAATTCTTTTTTTTTTTTCCTTTTTTTTTTTTAATATAACATGCAGTTTATTAAATGTATGCAAAGTTAAATAATTTATATTATGCATTTTTATTAACTTAGGAGCATAACTAGAACAATTTTCTTTGGATATTGTACTGGTTTGTACATTTTTTTTCTCTCTTTTTTAACATTTTATTAGGGGCTCATACAACTGTTATCCCAATCCATACACACATCAATTGTGTAAAGCGCATTTGTACATCGTTTCTCCAAACATTTTCTCTCCATTTAAACCCCCGACATTAGGTCCTCATTTTTTCCCTCCCTCCCCGCTCCCCCCTCCCGCATGAGCCCTTGATAGTTTATAAATGGGTATTTTGTCATATCTTGCCCTGTCCGACGTCTCCCTTCATCCACTTTTCGGTTGTCTGTCCCCCAGGGAGGAGGTCACACACAGTTCCATGTAATCGGTTCCCTCCTTCCTACCCATTCTCCCTTTACCCTCCCTGTTTTGCCACTCACACCACTGGTCCTATAGGGCTCATCCATCCTGGATTCCCTGTATTTTCAGTTCCTATCTGTACCAGTGTACCTCCTCTGGTCTAGCCAGACTTGCAAGATAGAATTCAAGTCATGGTAGTGGGAGCGGGGAGGAAACCTTTAGGAACTAGAGGAAAGTTGTATTTCTCATCATTGTTACATCGGGGGGAATTCTTAAGGAGTGGCCTGGATAGATTTTCTTAAAGGGCCCCAAACGATCACTGGGGCATGTGATGAGGGTGAGATAAGGCAGGAGAGCTGCACTGACACACTTTTCTTCTCCATCACAACAAAGCATCCACTCAGCCTGCGAGGGTGGTAAGGGCTGTCCTTCCTATGAGCATTTCCTTGGGAAACCTTACCCCGTTCACCCTCCAGTCCTGATCTTGCCCCTTCAGATATCTTTTTGTCCCCCAAACGCAAAGAACATGATTCGAGTCCCTCAAGGAGCCCAACCTGCTCTTTTGACAAGGTATAAATGGAAGAATACAGAATTCTCAGGGGAGGGTCAAAGCCAACCCACCACCATCAAGTTGACACAGACCCACAGCAAACGGTGACCCTACAGGGCAGAGTAGAACTGCTCCTTAGGGTTTCTGGCACTGTAAGTCTCTCCAAGAGCAGACAGCCTCATCTTTCTCCTGTAGAGTGGCTGGTGGGTTTGAACTACTGATCTTGCAGTTAGCAGCTCAACAAACACAACAAATCAAACTCACTGCTATCAAGTCTGTTCTAGCCCATTGCAACTCTATAGGGCAAAAAACTACTCATTTGTGTGTCATTTAAATTACTGCAGAAGCGGCAAGCCTCATCTGTCTGTAAGCAGGAAGAATTTCTGTAAGCAACTAGTGGGTTTGAACCAGTGACCTTTTGGTTGGTTAGCCGCTTAATTTCAGCCCACTATACCACCAGGGCTCCTAGATAGAGATGGAAACACTGCCCTCAGAAGTGTATGGTCCTGGACGAGGACATAGAGCTTCACATTCTGATATTTTTGTTTAATAAGCATTTTGATGATCCTCCTACATGCCATATATAGAGATGTATTTATTCATTACAAAATACAATCATCCAATATATTGTATCTTTTTTTTTTTTTT